GGCCCCAGCCCTATGTCCATTATTCGCAGCTTTGCTGGTTTTGCCATTGTGGCTCCCTGGAGTCCCGAGGTCAGCCTGGTCAGTCTGCCCGAAGTCGTCACCACCACGGGCAGTTGCCGCCCCTGTGGATCAGAGGGAGATTTGTCACCAGGGAGTTTGCAATATCGTACACTTCGTTGAGGTATCAGCGTAAGTGTTCGACGCGTGGCAAGGTTTCGAGGTTTAACGAGTTTGGTCGCCTTACATGAACCACAATTTGCTTCATTTCTTTTTTCAACTTTTACAATTGGCAACTTGTCGAATAATGTCGTTTAAAGGGATCGTGTACCCTTCTAGGACAGCGATATTATTAAACAAATCTATTGTTTTTTTTATGAGAGGATACGAGGTTGTTAAAATAAGATTTATTTAATACTGCCTAACATGTCGGAAATTTGGCCTTATTCGGAATCTGCAATGCTCAAATTGATGCACAATCTACTAAAGAGTAGATTTTCACAACCCCAACAAAGAAACTCGGGACCTTAATTTCAAACGTATAGGAAACAGGTCCTCTAGACACTCACAGTTTTATGACTTTATCACTTATTCGAAGAGATCAATCTCACCAAAGACCATGGATGGGTAATGTGCGTCCTTCAGGTTAAAATATGTGTCTGATATATTGTGTGAGCTCATTGCTGAGATTAAAAGTAAGTCGCTCCTGGGAATCATTAGACAGACTGGAGCACAATCTATGACATTTTCCATGTGGTGTGGTGGACATTACGTTTAAACTCTGCACCAGTCGGGTTTTCTCACCAGTCACTTATAGGTTATCATTTTTTTTTGCTGAATAAGTTTTTCTTACGGCTCTCTAAGCCATGATACAGATTATTTCTCCAAGTACTCAACATCTGTACATCGGACATACTACGATTTACTGCCTTTCAGACTGGTGGAAAGCCGTGAAAAAATTCTTTATCAGTCAGGCTTCCCGATATAAATGTCCAACTCGTTCACGGCTCCAACAATTCTAATAAATTCTAATAAGAAGTCAGGGACGCGTGTGGCGTAGTGGCCGGAGGCGCCCTGTAACACACACGTGGAATCGATACTCGCGCCTCTAGCCCACCAAGCCTTTCATCCCTCTTGGGTCGGCAAAGTGGTACCAGACTTGTCTGGTAGGATAGTAGCACTGGCTCGACACAACGGTAGGCTACCGCGAGTCATTGTAAAGGCCAGATATGCATTTAATCACCTCCAAACGATGCTTGATGAAACTCCCACGACCGACTTTCTATTAACCTCGGCATTGATCAAGTAATTCTTCGTATTTTTGTTGAGCAAACGCGAGGTGTTATTATTCTTTATTCACAAATGAGCTGACGTTTCGGCGGATTTCGCCTTCCTCAGAGCCTGGAAAGGTCAAGTTGACAGCAATCTACTTGGCCAGACGCCTCCATAACCAAACAAGGAAACTCTAAACCAAGATTTCAATCACATTGAACACAGCTTTGCACACTCACCGCTTTCTATGAGGTCTCCACTAAGTATGTCACGTAGAAACCAACCGCACAGAAATCACATGAAAGTATAATGTACCCCACTCATCAGAATAGCAGTCTTATATACTGCCCTACATCACGCGTGATAATGAGGCATTCTTCCCTGCGGTTCATTTTCGGATTTCTGGAATTAATCCAGAGTGCCTCGAGAGTTTTTCGCGCCTGTGTTCTTGATTCGCGTGCAAGGGTCGTGACACATACTTCAAAGTCCTCCCCGTTATGTCTCTGGGTCCTATGCGTGCCTAGCGGAGTATTTGGTCTATGTTTGCCGGCTAGGTGTTCTTTTATGCGGACACAGAGGGGTCTGCCCGTTTCGCCAATGTATTCGTCACCGCACGTCTTACAGGAGATCAGATAAACTATACCCGAGCTCATGCAATCACCGTCTCTACCACTGGGGCAAATTATGCAGTTTTGAATTGCACATAGACGGTCATATAGGCGGTTTCGAACTAGCTGGCGCTTAAGATTACTCGGTGGTATTTCAACTACGCGTACCGAATTCTCTAAACCCGCCTTTCTTAAGCAGCGTTTTATAGCTGTACTTATATCATTTGAGATAAAGGGTAGGATAAACGGGACCCTTCTATCGCTAGAGTTGTTGTCTGGAGGCCTAGGATTTCCCCTACACCTATCCTGAGCTACAGTTTCGTAGCCATTAGAACTGGCTATTTGCCGTGCCAAGTTTCGGGACTCCTCTCTCTGTTCTCTTCCCGTACACACGTTGGTTGCCGTTCGAAACATGTTTCTTATAAGCGTCCTTTTCGTGTGAGAGGGGGCAGACCCCTCTGTGTCCGCATAAAAGAACACCTAGCCGGCACACATAGACCAAATACTCCGCTAGGCACGCATAGGACCCAGAGACATAACGGGGAGGACTTTGAAGTATGTGTCACGACCCTTGCACGCGAATCAAGAACACAGGCGCGAAAAACTCTCGAGGCACTCTGGATTAATTCCAGAAATCCGAAAATGAACCGCAGGGAAGAATGCCTCACTATCACCGGTGATATGGGGCAGTATATAAGACCTATTCTAATGGGAGGGGTACATTACGCTTCCATGTGAATTCTGTGCGGTCGGTCTTCACGCGATATACTCAGTGGAAGCCTCATAGAAAGCGGTGAGTGTGCAAAGCTGTGTTCAATGTGATTGAAATGTTGGTTCAGCGTTTTCTTTGTTTGGCTATGGAGGTGTTTGACCGAATAGATTGCTGTCAACTTGACCCTTCCAGGCTCTGAGGAAGGCGAAATCCGCCGAAACGTCAGCTCATTTGTGAATAAAGAATAATAACACCTCGCGTTTGCTCAACAAAAATACGTAGAATTAGATGCTTGATGAAGTCGAATTCATGGCGCATGGCTCATGAATTGATGAACGCCGAGAGTTTTATCCTTTATCCTTTCACCTATGATATTGAAAGATCATGGGTGGTCATTAGCAGTTCACGGCGACCATCTTATCGATTCTGATCTTTTAGCAATCACTCGGAAGATTTCAGAAGGACTGAACAGTCACCAGTCATATCCTTCGTCACCTAAAAGACATGCGAAACATGAGGAAGTATAAATCGTAGTCACGTATACTGAATAAAATTCAAAAATCGAAGCCATTAAGTCCGTTTTGTACCTAACACAAAAAACGAAAACATTTCACGATCGCAATATCACGTTAAGATGATAGGTAATACACAACAATGGGACGGATAGAGTGATAGTGATGTCGGTCACCGGCATGGTGGTGGTTCGATTCCGCAATGAGCTAACCAAGTCACTCTTCTCTCCGGAGTCCGGAAACTGGTAGCGGACTTGTCCAGGAAAAAATCACTCTCCGCAATCCAATTGGAAACGCCCTAGCCCGATTATCTCAGGACCTCAGGGAGAATTGCTCTATCAGCATTCCACGATATTCACGATGAAATGAAAACCTTCAAGCAGAAACTGAATCCACACGTAAATTGGAATAACTTCGTGGATGATGGGTGCAAGGAAAGGAATCGAATGTGAAATGTGCTGGGATCCGCACAATAGACGTGAAAACGTGTCATATAAAAAAAGACCTAAAACGGACTGAAGCTTCAGATTGAGAAACGCGACTATATTCCTAATTTTTTTTGGATGAGAGGAACTCTTTGTTGATCTTACTGAATGAATAAGAAAATACTAATATCAACTACACAAATGAGAACTCGATTTGACGAACTTGACACGATGTATGAAGTGGCCGTGAAGAAGGGTCATGTAAAAATAAAAAAAAATGTACAACAACTCACAACGTTAACCTCAGTGGTTGGAACGAAATGAATCACATCTTCGAAATTCAAATTTGCATGAAGTGCTCTTCAACAGGAGCAAGCGGCGCTGTCTTTCTGAATCCTGGTAAAATAATCACTGAAACGAAACAGGAAATCGAAGAAATTCTTGAAATATTTCAAATCGTGTGTCCAGAAATGCCCAATAGAAAAGGTCCCATCGTCATCGTCTTTCACGGTCATCAATCACACCTTACAAAACTAATGATACAGAATTTGTGCGGAATGGACCACAAAATTTCGTTCAATCGAATATACTCTTAGTCGGACCGATCGATAACCACTTTCTAATGTATATGGACAAATAATTAGTAAAATCTCCAACGAGCACACGCTTCTACACGGTATCTTCGAAGAACCTGTCGCATCCAAAACTTCAAGATTCTAGCTCTTTATAATCAATGTGTGTGAAGAATGTGTAGCTAATGGTCCCTACTCTGATTAATTAAATCGTGTTTGATACATTATAACATTTTAAAGTGGCCATTTGAAATCAACCACTTTCCCACCAAAATGCTCTTCGCGGAATTGCCGACCACCAACTTTAATATGTCGCAGGATTTGCATGTTTCCTTCAGTTCAACGGTCCTGGACATAAAACACTAAATAAGGCCGACTCTACCAAATGATTTCTGGACGGTCCAATCACCGGACACGAAATGTGAATCCTCATCCGGAGCTTCAATACTGTGGTAATGCCCCTTGACTAAAATTGTTCCCCGGCGATTTAATATGTCGCAGGATTTGCATGTTTCCTTCAGTTCAACGGTCCTGGACATAAAACACTAAATAAGGCCGACTCTACCAAATGATTTCTGGACGGTCCAATCACCGGACACGAAATGTGAATCCTCATCCGGAGCTTCAATACTGTGGTAATGCCCCTTGACTAAAATTGTTCCCCGGCGATAAAGCAATATTTAGAAATAAATAATTTATTAGACACATTTCAACCAATAAGCAATACGAGGCAGGGTGATGAGATTACCTCATGTAAAAGATACCCATACCACAACACCTCATGTATTGGCGACAAAAAAATAAAAATAACAAATCAAACAAAAAAGGGCTAGAAATGAGGCCAACAGCTGCAAAGTGCAACTAGTGATCACCCGACCTGAAATAACAAAGTTTGGCAAAACTTATAGTTCATCATGAGCCTCTTCCTCCTTATCTTCCTTATCCGCCTCCTCTTCTTTCTCCTCCTCTTTCTTCTGCTTTTCCTCTTCCTCCCGCTTTTTAGTCTCTTCTTCCAACTTCTTCCTTTCCTCTTCTTCAAACTTTTCCTTCTTCTCTTTCTCGGCGGGCTTCAACTTCTCGAAGGTTTCAGCTGCGTGGGCTTTAGCTTCCTCGATAGAATCAGTCACAATAATGTTGTCGAAGATGGTTCCTGATTTTACTTGCCAGAGATCGAAACCGATTGCTCCCCAATCCTTGTATAGGTAGAGCTCGTCATCAGGAGTGTACTCCGGGTTATCGATTTCAGGATGAATCCACTTTCCTTTATACGCAGGATTCTTGATTTGCTTAGGTTTCCACTCTCCCTTATAATCGGGATTGTCGATCATAGGGGGCTCCCATTCGCCGTCCATCTCATCATCCCAATCGTCGGGCTTCTTTGCGTCAGGGTCTGGGATATGTTCTGGCTTATCCCAGTCGTCTGGCTGAAAAGAATGCACGTAACAGCAATGGTCAACCAAACTTTCATAGTCAATCTCGACGACAAAAAAATAATAGAAAAACCTCACCTTCTTGTCATCGGCATCATCAATGTACTCTCTTTCGTCCCAGTCTTCTGGTTTCTTCGCTTCAGGATCTTTAATCTTTTTTGGTGGAAGCATGTCCCAGTCTGCTTCTAAATCGCCACTTTCGACCTTCTCTCCGTCGATTTGTACCTCGTACGTGTTGTCAGGATTTAGAATGAGAGTGTACAAGTGCGTCATCTCATCGTCCTGAAGAAAATAGAAACCTGATCGACACTTTAAAAATATCTCCACTTCTTATTTATAACCATACATGTGTATGTATACAAAAGATGAGAGCGTAACGCAGCGGTGTGAGGCACGTTGCAATACACATGGGATCAATCCAATCACCGGCGCCCCAGGCCCACCAAGCCTTCCATCTCTCTGGGGTCGGCTAATTGGTACCAGATCTGTCTGGGAGTGTAGCAGAACTGGCTCGAAAAATTGGCGGACCACCGTGAGTCATTTTAAATATGCATTCAGATATGCATTCAATCATCTCCAACGTTGCCTAATAAAGTCGAATGCGTGGCGCATCCCTACGAAATTAATGAACGGCGAAAGCCTTATCCTTTTCATCCTTCATGTACACAGAAAGAAAGGGAAAGTAAATGCAACAAAGAGGGACCAAGCTGCAGTACAACACTGCTAACCTTACACCGAATATCCTTCTTGATAAGATGGTTCTTCCCTTTGTAGGAGAAGATGACGTGAACTTTTCTCGTCGATCCACAAATGTCAGGACCGAACATCACATTGTATGGTGTCTCACCATGGAAACCTGACAGATCAACATCGGATGCCATGACCTGAATATGAATATGAATAAAAATAAAAAACCTCAACAGTAGCAAAGCCATAATCATCAAATTGAGTTCCTGCTAACCTTGACATAACCGCCTCCACAGTCGATTGACTGCTCGTGTTTAACAGTGTATTGAATAACAATGGTTTTTCCTTTGTTAGAAAAGGGCTAGAAAAAATCATATGCAATTCACTAGGTACAAAAATAAGAAGAAAATCGACCGAGTTCTAAAAAAGACCACCTACTTTTGGAAATTTAGCCGCACGTGAATAGAATTTGGCATCTTGACTGGTTTGCAAACCCTGGTCCCGTTTAGCATCACCATAATATTTGCCAGCGGATAATTTAAATTCACCAAAGTCATTCTTATGAGTGGATTGTACCCATCGCTTTTCCCAAGAATCATCTGAAAACTTAGTGGGTAGCGGAATCGAACTACCACGTGGGAGTAGCGAACACTACTACAGTTTATACAAAATACCCCAATATAACTATAAAGTGCCTACCTCCGAATTCCTCCTTAAAGAATATTTCCGCTGCAACAACACCAAGAAGGCCTACCACGACGGCCAAGCTCCTCATTACGTTAGATTTTTTAACCAAGCCCTGAAAATCTTTGATAAAAACAACAGGTATAAGAGAGTACGAATAACTTGTAGAAAATCAGTAGGACATGTAGAAGCGAAGCGCTCTTATCATTACGATGTCAAAGTTTCGAAGCAGTGGACGCAACGAGAACGACAAAACAGGAAGACGAAACGTGACCGCATTGGAACCCCAAGGTCCTGCATGAACTAATCGCTAAACAACGTGAACAACATGAACGATGATCGTGATGGACGTGACCGGACCACCGTCGCTTATTGAACGAACGGTTCCCACACTGCGATGAAGTCAACACACGTATCGCTCTCGCACTACGGGCTATATGATGTTGAGTCGGCCCGATAGCGACGTCAGCACAGCCGTCATGCGTTGATTGGTCAACGACAGCATCCCGCCAATCACAGCACGCCAACGAACGCGGCGGAACGATTCGACCGGCGCGTAGCGGTGGCAGTACGAGAGAGATGGAGTGTAGACGTAGAGAGCAACGTCCACAGCAGTGAACTGAGACACGCAGACGCGAGACGAAGTGCGATACCTCGCTCGGTTGGCATCCATGTGCTGAGTTCAGGACCACGACTGTGCTGGATCGATAAGCTTTAGTAGATAAGAGTGCTTTTCTGCAAGTTATTTACTACGTATAGGTACTTATAGGCTTCTGTAGAGCTTGCCCAAGGTTGTATTCGGTCCGTTCCAAATTCTGTTCACGTTCCCTACTAAGGTGGTTCCAGGAGAAAAGCTAGTCCTGCCAGTGTGCTTGTCGTGGATTGCAGTACTTTCGCACTGATAACTAGTACTTCAATGCTACTGAATACATGGCTAAGAACGCCAAAGGCACCGGTATCTCTAGACGTGCAGCTTACAAAGATGATCAGCACGCGTCCACTGACCGTCTACGTCTTGATGGCTTTCCTGGTCGTTTGTTCAGTAGCACTGAAGTATATCCCTTCAAGCTTTGAAGAGCCAGAGAGGAGAAGAACTTGTTTATTTGCAAACGGCGGTCTGAAAGCTAACGTCTGATAAGCAGCATTCCTAAGTGAAGGGAAGGAAACTCGTCCAACGCTGCTGTTAGCAGCTTGATAGCAGTGAATGAACAACGAAAAGAAAAAGTTCTATGATAGAGTAAAATTAATAAACGGTTTTCGATCAGAGACGATAATGTGAGAAAAGTGTGATGGGTGGCCGGCCTAGTGCCCATTTGACTGACAACGCTGGGTCAATGCCGTCGATATGTTGACAGGTTGCTTTATCGATCGATTGGACTGGTTGGAGTAGTGATTTTAGTGGGAGCTTACGGACGTCTTACTTTATTGATTACTTAGACTTGGAAATGTTTCACCCTAAAGGGACAACTAATCTTTGTATTCCTTGTAGAATGCGGGAATGCTAAGGCACGATTTGAGGACATTGCGGATTTCTTTCTTCTATCATAGTTATGGTTGTTTCCCAACTTAAGTGATAGACCGTTAGAGTTAAGGATTTTGACTTCACGTGAAGTTTCTTCTATGTTGTTAACAGAACCGTCCTATGTGATATGGATACGAATAGATTTTACGTCACCCGTCAATTTATGAAGGCCGCCGAAAATGATAATGCTCATTTGTATTCATTTTTAATACCGATCGATTACACAAGTTTTTTAGTTGAATGAGCAAACACGAGGTTGTTCTTAAGGCACTTGTTGTTTTCAGCTTCTTGAAATCTCGAATATCAGGAAGTGACGTCGTTTCTCGATGGGTCACTTTTTCGCCTTAGAGCAAGCTTTCTTCATCAGAATCGTCTAAGCTCATCGTCAAAAGGAACTTGTTGCACGCAAATTTCCATTTCATTGTAAAGTCGTTATGAATTCATCAGTATAGGTGAGCGATCTGTGATCTTACTGATCGTTATCGATCGCATAAATATTATGCAGTGGTGGTGAGATGATCTGGATATTGACTCAGAAATGCTGCTCAGACGTGATCGCTTAGTTCGCTATTCCCGGTTTTTTCTTGTAGTAATAGGAACTGATGATGGAAAAATCACATTTTTCCTGCACAAATATTTGAAGAGGAGTATATCGTTACATTTTCGTTGAAAGTAAACATTATGAAGGACAATTCATACAGTGCAGAATACGATTATCATCGATAAGTGCACAGCTGCGAGGTGCCGCCGAACGGGTCCTCCTCAACGGCACAGAACCGATCTGGAGTCAATATTGAGGGTCTCGCGGCCGCTGAGTGACACTTGGAAGTTTGGACTAAGGTTGTACCACGTCTTAAAATCTTCAGTTTCAACAAAGAAGGATTTTTCGACGATTCTGCAATATTCTATTCATGAGCTCCTCCTAACAGTTTACCGCCTCGTCGTGGCTAGGAGGTATTCTTAGGTGTCGGACTGCGATGTGCGGTGGGGAGATTCATCCCCAGCAGAGCGTCCCGAGGTAGGGAGTCCGACGTTTCCATACGGAAGTCCAGCTAAGAGTAAGCTATTACCAGGATCCAATGCCGTCCTGGTACCAAACTAATCGCATGCTGGCAAGAAAGATTTGACTTTGGCATGGCTGACGTCGGGACTCCAGGGAACCACAGTGGTTAAACCAGCAAGTATCAACGGTGGAAGTTATCATGAGGCCTGCACAACCAGTGAAGACGGACTATTCAAGTATCGAAGTAAGTATTCATGAGCTTACACGGTGTTGTTGTACAAGTTTTATTCGACTAACGTTTCGACATCTTCGTCCTCCTCGGAGTTGGATTGTTCCGGGTCGATAGTACACAGTTTTTCGTTCTCGCATTCCTTAGAAGTTACTACTGGAAGATTTCTATGGTGCTGTTTCATGAAAATTCAACACATAATTCATTGTACTCCTTAGCTTCTAACTGTGATTTCGAATGTTTGTTTTTCATCACGATTGGACGGCATGCATTCATTTCAATACGTTGTCTTTCAGACAATTTTTTTACGGCACGCACTTGTTATGCAATATTTTTGCTTTGGATCGATATAGTGTTCCTACTACAGATGTTTCATGCATCGTTTGAGAAAATCTATCGTCACTATGTCAAGAGATGCAGCTTTTCAAGACGACGTTTCTAATAATTGATTGATTGATTTGATTTCCTGAGAATTTCAATCTGGAATAGGTTTAAACTTGCAGTAGTGCTTTGCAACAGTCACGAATAGGTCTGGAGCGGCGGAGACAACTTTCTTCTTTGAATATGTGAGTTATCAACCTTGTTGTTCGAGGTAGTGAGAAGTTATGAGTTGTCGAGAAATGAGCAGTACTGCTCGTTACGTATTAGAGGAAGAGAATTTCACCATTCTGTCAAGCACTTGTGGAGTATATCACGTGATCAGACTTGATAGAAGCATAAAAGGATGAAGCTCTCGGTGTTGATCAATCTCTGCGAGATTCGCCATGCACTCGACTTCGTTAATCATCGTCTGAAGGTGACTGAATGCATATCTGGCCTTTACAATGACTCGCAATGTCCTACTGACGCATCGAGTCAGTGCTGCCATCCTCCTAGACGAGTCTCGTACCAATTTGCCCGGAGGGATTGAGGACCATGAGCCCGAGGCGCGGAGATCGATCCCTCGTGTATTGCAGGGCGCCTCCGACCAGTGGGCCACACGCGCTCCATCAGATTTGATAGATCGTATAAGGTAGTACGATACTAATGCCTTTTCATTGCTGTGCTTTTGTGTTAAAGCGTTTTATGTGTCTATATTATTGAGCTCACACGAGATTAATAGACATGTTTATTTGGCTGTTTCGACGTCTTCGTCTTCATCAGAGCCGACGATCCTTGTCGATGGTCCACAGTTGTTCCTCTTCTAAATGTGGCGTCTTCATCTCGCATCGAACGGGATCCTCCTCAGCGGAGCATCTCGAATGAGGCATATTCTCCCGGCAATGCTCTTTCATACAGGGCGGTTGTTGTTGACACGATCATCCGTTGATAATAATTTGTGTTTCGGACAAGACAACAACGGACGATCCACCCTACAGCAGTCGGTATTTTGTTAGTTAGAGAATATGTTCAAAAGCGTTTTATGTTTAGTGGTTATTCAATAATTCACCCATTCTCTTTTTTAAAGTGCGGCTGGCTCTATTTCGATCGAATAGTGCAGTTGCACTAACTCATCCTTATTTTTTTTCATATATCCAATAATATACTTATATTCGTAAATGTTTCTTCATCATTTTGGTCTGTTCGTTAGCATAAGAGAGAGGTTAGTATCTCAAAGTTGAACTAAACTAGGGGTTTTTTAGGACTTGCATGGTGTGGTGGTGAACGCGTTAGCTCCCGGAAAGGGTACTGGCACATTCGGTCTCCACCGCAGACACCAGCGTTCCGGAGTTTTGGAAATATCTCAACATCGTTATGGTTAAACTAAAGATTACACTGTTGACGCATCTTATAACGGAGCTGCGTGTCGTCGCTTATCTATAGGAAGTTACTATGAGGTTTCTGATCGGTGTTAAAAAAGGAAATAGCAATGAGCCTACATGGCGAAGATATCTGTTGGGTGGACGTCTTTAATAAAATTCTTCGACAGAGCTGTAGCTACTTAGATCCGTATGCCGTTCGGACTTCTGTACTTCTTCCATTCGTTTCGCTGGCTTGCTATCGTCATCCGTAAGTATGGGTTCTTGTGTGAATTCGGCTCCAACATTGCGCTGTGTGATCATCCCTCACGCTCATGTTGGATACTGAACGAGTATGACTTTCCTAGAATCCCGAGATAGTCATACTAGAGCCTTTTTACGTCTTCACAAAGGATAGCTGCTAGCCAGTGGATGAGAGCGATTCCTGCGACAGCAGTGAGCACCGCGATTAGTCTCAAATGGCACCTAGAGCACTATCAGCAAACCAGACGGAAAGCTTACAAGACCAGACAGAAGACGGTGAGAGACGGACCGGATGTAATTCAGTATTTTGAAAAATTAGGCGTTCAAAGTCGGTGAAATTTTGCCATGGTCGCTCTTGCAACGCAACAATTTCAGTTGTCCACACGCGTTCCACTATCTGTTCCACAGGATTTAAGATATTTGCTATGGCAATTCTTCGTATTCTTGTTGAGTAAACGCGAGGTGTTATTTTTATTCTTTATTCACGAATAAGCTAACCTTTCGGCGCATTTCGCCTTCCTCAGAACCTGGGAAGGTCAAGTTGACAGCAATCTATTCGGCCATACACCTCCATAACCAAACAAAGAAACTCTAAACCGATTTCAATCACATTAAACACAGCTTTACACACTCACCGCTTGCGATGAGGATCCCACTGAGTTTGTCGCGAAGAATGCCTCACTATTACGGGTGATATTGGGCAGTATATAAGCCTGTTATTCTGATGGAATGGGCACATTACGCTTCCATGTGAATTCTGTGCAGTTGGTCTTCAGGCGGCATAGTCAGTGGAAGCCTCATAGAAAGCGATGAGTGTGCAAAGCTGTGTTCAATGTGATTGAAATCTTGGTTTAGAGTTTCTTTGTTTGGTTATGGAGGTGTTTGGCCGAATAGATTGCTGTCAACTTGACCTTCCCAGGTTCTGACGAAGGCGAAA